CACACACACACACACACACACACACACACACATATATATATATATAAGTTTGAGACTTCCAAAAAAATCGTAAAGTTCACTGAGGTAATTTTTTGCTCTACCATTAATGAGTAGACAAAATGGCTTGATTGTGATTTGCTCTGTTGTAAAGACATCCCAATAGCTCGAAAACTAGAAAAGGCAAAGGGGAACATCAATTTACGAATGATAATAAAAAAAAAAGAAATGAAGAAAAATATGGAAGAAAAAAAAGACGAAGAAGGACGAGATGCTCTCCCATTTCAGAACACAAATTGACTTAAGAGTTGTAGTTGACAACCCCAAGATCTCTGAGTGCATCCGTTGCCGCAACTTTGCAGCTTCTGTGGGTTGATTTGGCCTTCCTAATGAGCTTCTCAACGCCGTTTGCCAGCAAAAGCTCTCTGCAAAATTACCAAACAATCCCTCACACACCTTCCCCTATGAGACCCGACATCACGGGCAAACAGGTAATTGGGGAGAGTGGAAGATGAAACTTGCCTGTTTTCGGGATTTCTGACCGCAAGATTACGGATCATGAAACAAGCATTCCTTTGAAGTTGCTCTGATTCAATAAACCTTTCCATGGATTGGATGGCAAGGTCACCTGCTCCGGCTTCAATGGCACGTGCTGCATTCCCTGGGGATCTCAAGCAGAGCACTGAAATAATAGACATGATCTGTGCCACACAAAAAGTGTACATATTTTTGGAGTACTTTGCCATTCACATTTCTTTATTTGGAATTTGCAGAATAACCTAAACTTTTTTTGGAAGCGCATGTATCCGTGCAAATGTCATTATTACTTACCTCTTGTAGTACAGAAGGCTCATTGCAAAACTGCATCAAAAGCCTAACCAGCCTATCCATCCCTCTCTTCTCAACTATAGCACATTTGTTTGCATCACTTCCTGCCAACTAGTCAACTGCAATGTATTAGGTTTTCTTCAAGTTTTTAAAACAATTTGCACAGTCTTGTCTATAACTAATAAATATTACTCCCTATGTCCTTAAAATATCTCCCCACTATTTCTTTTAGTTCATTCCTATATTATTTCAGTCTTCTAAACAAATCTCGACCCACATCACTCTTCTTCTTAAATACCGTGACAATCAAAGTGACAAATACTTTAGGAATGGGGGAGTCTATAAGACAAAGTTCCACATGCCAATATCAAATAGGAGTATTTGTCACTCAGAGATGGAAAGAACCTTAGATAACAAGGAACAACAAGTTTTAGCAAAGGCTTGATTTCCCTGTTGACCACTGTCATCAATGCACGAAAGCAGTGCATCTATCCCCCCATTGTCTGCAACAGCTCTGCATATTTCTTCCTAAAAACAATTGAAAGAGAAAAAAGGAATATAGACAACTGTTCTGCAGAAAGTTTGAAATAAATATTGAAAGAACAGCAGATTCACAAGCTTACATTAACAGCAATGGATTTCAAAGTGTTGCATGCTGAGATTAAACATGGTGACCCGATCCCCTGACTCAGAGATCCCACAAGTGCTTCAACAACTCCTATTTTTGCAAATTTTCGGGCATATCCAAAAACCTAAAATGGGAGATGATGTTCAAATGCTAAACAAACAAGCGAACCCTGCTAAAATGCAGAAGACTTCGTAAAAAATGGAGGATTAAGATTATAGGTGATGATAAATATTTCAATCACTCTTTATTCATTTTTTGAACTATTTTACTTGTCAAGATATACTCCGTAGAATAAACCCTCCAAAGTTCTTCCATCCAAACTGGGCTAGAAAAATATGTGAGAAAATGTACTATACTTACTTGAGAGGCTACCACACGATTATCATCAGATGTCAACAGGACTTGTATGGCTTCATATAAATAAGGAATGCTCCCACTAGCGTGTTCCATCAGGCACTGAACAATTAACTCATCAATTTTCAAGTCCATAAATGATTCCTTCAGAACCTCATTACCTGTTGCAGCTGCCGCAACAACAGAAAATCCATAATCCAAGATATTGGCATCTTGGATATTATCCTTTATGACTCCTACAACAGCTAGTGCCCCGCCACTCTCCCTAAATGCTTCTGTGCTTTGAACATCTGTGAATAGAGTATATATTTAGATATAGACTATGCCTTCCAGAGTTTTCATCTCCAAAGACCACAATACAAACAGAAACATAGTTTCTTAGGACAAATAAAACAAACCCCTAATACACACGTTAATAATGGGCAACTAAAGATTCTATAAAAAAAATACGGAGTAAACTATTAGGAACATACGGAATAGCATAAAGTGCAAAATATGATAAGCAAGCCAATTTACTCCACTTTAATCAATGGAAGACTAAATAGAATTTCCCAAAAAGATGATAAGATCGATCTATCAACCAAGAGAGTGGAATGTCACTTAATGAGGGAGTAAAACTCATACCATGAAGTAGCTTAGCCAATGTCTTCAGAGAAGAGATTACGCCCTGGTTGCACCCACCTCTAATCTTAAGAAAAATCGAGCACACCAATTTCACTCCGTCATTCTTATTAGCAATCACTACATTGCCTGATCCTTCATCAGCGCACAAACCATTCAACCTATCCAACAATTCCACAATTTCCTTCAGAACGTCATCGCTTTCTTGTTTTCCAGACGATTCGAGATTCAACTGCTTCAGCCGCTCGATCGTTTGAATAACTGGGTGGCTATTCACTGAACTGTCTCCCGGGATGCAAGTCACTATCCCTGTCGGATAGAAAACGAGGTGTGATGCGATTTGTATCGTTTCATTAGAGAGATGGATAGTGAAGGTGAAGAAAGATACCGGAGAGATCAACGCCTTGGAGGGTTAGGGTTTGAACGGCGTCTTCGAGAGCTTCGGCGGGATTCATCCCGATGTCTTCTATGTTCTCCTTCACCATTTCATTGAAGGCTTGTTGCGAAATTGTGCGCACCGCCTTCGGTGGCCCCATCCGATCTTGAGTCGCCGGCTCGCCGGAGATGATTCCCGCCGACTCAAAATTTTAGAATTAAACTTGGACAGGAACAGGGTCAGGGTCACAACCCAGCTGGCAGCTAGGACGCCCGTTTTCCTCTGATTTTGGAAACTAATAATAATATCTTCCTCCACAAATAAATTTTTCGTTCACTATTTATGTAAATCTTTATTTATTTTTGATATAGTTTTTTAATATAGTTTTTCCTGGATCTTTTGATATAGTTTTTTAATACATATTTTTTATTTTTAAATTTTACATCATTTTTCATATAAAATAATTTGAAAATAACTTTTCAAACATTGTAACGCGCAACGAGAAGTTTATTTATGGACGAAGAAAGTAACCTTTTTTAATAAATTTTTGTTGCACACTAAGAACATGCTCTTTATAACAGGGAAAAAAGCGCGGAAAAAACTAGAAAAGATTAGAAAGAATTGGAAAAAACTGAAAAAACTAGAAAAAAACTAGAAGAACTAAAACAAACATGAAAAAAACAGGAACAAAGTGAAAAAACTACAAAAATTTGGAAAATCTAAACAAACTTTTAAAAAAATTATTTTAGTATATTTATATATTATTCTCATTCTATTCTTATTGTTATTGTTATTGTTGCTATTATTATTATTATTGCTACAACTACTACTATTACTATTGCTATTATTATCATGATCATCATCATCACATTTTTTTAATGAATGTCTTTAAAATAAAAAAATATTGTTATCTTTCATACACAAAAATTGCTTTTGTAAAAAAAGATAATTGTAATATAAGGTTAGCACAAATATCAAAATGTTAAATTTTAAAATGTTATTATAAAATAATATATTTGCAATTATACTTTATACATTACAATATTTTGTTTGAAATATCAGATATGTCACATTATGTAATCAAACCTATTTTTTTCTCTCAGGATTGTGATTTTATTTTCATTGTAACTCCTATTTTAGGAATAAAGACATATAACTTTATTTTTGTACATTTTTTATGCTTCACGCATATTTTAGTCTTTTTCTCTCTACTATTTTGATTTTCAAATTTTTTATAAAAATAAAAAACAAAATTTAATTTTGAAATAATTAAAAATGAGAAAAACATAAGTGATAAAGGGAAAGGTGAGATATCTTATATGAAGTTAGATTAATAAATTATTCTATGTAACTATTTTATCCATAATTTTTTAATATAGTTTAAAATATTGATGTTTTTTATTTTATCATGTAGATTAATATACAAAAAAATTGTGTTATTCATATTAAAAAGTTGAAGAAAAATAATAATGAGTGTGAATCGTAAAAATAGTGAGTTGAAAAAAATATTTTAGAAATTATTGTTATGAACATAATAGTTGTGATAATAATAATAATAATAATAATAATAATCACATTAAAAATATATTGTTTTTAGAATAATTCATTGGGGGAAAAGAAGTAGTTTGAAGAAAAGAATAATCACACTCATTATTATTTTTTCTTCAAGTTTTTAATATAAATAATATCATTTTTGTATATTAATCTACATAATAAAATAGGAAAATATTAATATTTTATGATAAATATTGCATAAATAAACTGACATGCAACGTAGCCAAAATAACTTTTAAATATTTTTATATTTATACTAATTTTATATTATAATTAGTTTTCTTTTTGCAAAAGTAGTTTTTTGTATGAAAAATAAAAATATTTTTTTTATCTTAAAGAGATTTATTAAGATAACGTAATGACAACAACAACAACAAGAATTAAAATGAAAATAATATAAAAATATAAAAAAATAATTATTTTTAGATTTTCCATTTTTTCTTGTTTTTTTAGTTTCTTTTAATTTTTTATAGTTATTTTCAAATCATCTCTTTTTTTCCGTCATAAAGAAGAGATTCTAAGCTTATGTTTGGATATGGTGATTTTAGAGAGAGAGAAAATGGAAGTGAAGAAAACACAATTTTGTCTAAGTGGTGAGAAAATCCTCCCAGAGAGAGAAAACATGTGAATTGACATTTTTGCCTTTCATTCCATCATACTCCCTCCGTCCACAATTAAAGTTCTCATTGCGCGTTACGATGTTTGATTGAAATTGTTTTTAAATTATTTTATATGAAATATGGTATGGAATTAAAAAATAAAAATTACGTATTTAAAAACTACTCCTTCCGTCCCAAAAAGATTTACACGTTTCAAAAAAATTGCGTCCCACAATCCCTTACCCATTTTTATTAAAAAACCACTTTTACCCTTTTACTTTTTCAAACCCTACCTATCACATCATACTTTTTTCCTAATAATCTACACATCACATCATACTTTTACCCATCACATCAAGGATATTTTTGGAAAGTCAACCAAAAATTATCCCTCCCTTAATTTCTACTTTAGTCAAAACGTACCCATCTTTATGAGACGGAGGGACTACATTAAAAGATCTACAAAACTAGAGGTGATATGACTATATTATTTTATCAAATAAGACACAAAAATAGGCTAACAAAGTGAATAAAGTTTGATTCTGTAAATAGTGAAGAGTAACTTTATTTACGGGGGAGGGAGTATATTTTAAAACCTATTTCTCTACTAATTTTAAAAATACAGGGGAAAAAGAATATTGACAAGAATATGTAAAAAAGATGAAAAAATTTAAACAAAAAAAGGTGGTGAGAAAATCATATTCCAGAGACTCGTTGCCCTATAGGATCTTTCTCTCGGCAACTCATTTCCGCCGCCTCTTCCGCTTGTCTCAGCCGCATCTCAGGTCATCTCCTCAACTTTGTCTCGATCTTGCTTGGCTTTGCTCTATAAATTTTTAGGCTTGCTGCGTGTTTTTTTTTGCCGCCCAAAGCTCTATTTTTTTTATATTGAATTTGTTAAATCTTTATTATAGATGCAACCATTTTTTGCATACGATTGTGTGTTTCATCCAATTTATTATCCACCTTTTTTTGTTTAAATTTTTTCATCTTTTTTACATATTCTTGTCAATATTCTTTTTCCCCTGTATTTTTAAAATTTTTCATTTTTATATTCTTTATTTTCTCTTTCTTTTTCAGTAAATGTGGAATCATTTTCAATTTTGCTTTCAGCTTGTAATAAAATAATTTAGAAATACAGTGCAGAAACTCCAGCTCCGCCTCATCTTCTTCCGCTTGAAGGCCACCTCGCGGCAAATCCATGGAGAGGCCTGCTAGCGGACCAGCTGCTGTTCAAGTTATTCAGAAGAAGTTGCGTGCGCTTAACAGCAAGTTAAGACACTTAGAGAGTATAGAAAAATCACATTTGCGATATAATAAAGTCATTGAAAGTATCCCTGAGGAGAAAGGAGCCTGAGCAGGTCAATGTGAGTGACTGGCAGAAGGTAAAAATTGCTGTCAAATTCTTTCTAGAATAATTTTAGGTCAGTTTTTGGCCTTTTTTTATGTATACGGAATTTAAGTCATGGAATCGGAGTTAGGGACTGTAATTCTAATTCTGTTGTTTGATAGCGTAGATTTGGAATTAGTAGTGCCAAAAATAAATTGGATTTGGAGAATTCAATTCCATCCAATTCAATCCTACAGAATTTTAATTTCATTTCAATTCTAATTCCGTCAATTTCGTGTACCAAACGGACCCCTGATGTATTTGATATTCAGTTTATATCTTTTTCCTTTTACATAAGCTTGGAAGACTTTAGTGTTAGAGTCACCAAATTCCATCCACTTCAAGTTGGCTTGTTGCCTCTAATATTCCATCTCTCTGTTTACTGGTAAAATAAGCTTGGCATTAGCTAAAGAAGCCTCTTCTCTAAGAGATTCTGAAGGAGGGTTATCATATGCATCTTGAGTTTTTGTGGCCTCTTCTTCCGCTTCTTTCACCTTTTTCAAAAATGTGCCCAAAAATGATGTTTGCATTCCAATCCTTCAATGCAATCTTAAGGCCTTTTAGTTGTAAAGCTGAACCTTTCATACTGCCAATGGTGGGAATATTCTTCCAACTCTTTTCAACAGTGTCTAAGAAATTATCATGTCTGGTCCAAACATTTAGAAATCTTAAAGGTTTGGGGCCTTTACTATTGCTGCTAGAGTAGATCATAGAGAGATGAGTCTCTGATCGGAAGTTGCTTTACTCAAGTGTGAAACCCCGATATTAGAAAAGGAGGCCATAAGATCCAGATTGACCAAAATCCTATCAAGTCTTCTCCAAATTCTCCCCTTAGTCCTAACCCCTGACCAAGTAAATATACTTCCAGCTGGTTTAGGGTAAATCAATTTACACGCATCAATGCGATCAATAAAATCATTAATGCTATAAAGAGAAGGGGAGGACTTTCCTTTATGTTCTTCCAGACAAGTGATGGCATTGAAATCACCACCAATAATCCATCTTTTATTAGCGGGCATATGATCTTGCATGGCTTTCCAAAGATCTTGTCTATCTCTAATATTATGTTTTCCATAAACTGAGGAAATGAGAATAGGAGATCCATCTGTTTTATGCTCAAATTCACAAGTGGTAATCTGCTCTTCTTCCCTATAGGAGATGAGAAAAAGAACCTCATTGTCCCAAAAACTCATCTCTTATTATTGGATGAAGCCAAACAATTAGAGTAACCTAACTGTCTATTAAAAGAATCCAATCTTCTAGCATTTACAATTGGTTTAATAATGCATATGAAGTCATATTTATAGGACCTCTTCAGATGTACAAGTCTGGCGAGAGAAAAGGCAATCCCACATGCATTCCAAAAGAGAATCGTCATAAGAAAGGGGTTTGTAGTACTCCTTTAGCTGAGACAATTACTCATGTCTACTGTAAGAGGTTGAATAGCTGATTTGTCCATTGGTTGCACATCCAATCCACCATCTGAGTGACAATATTGTGTTCCTTCCTCTTCACTGTCATCATTTTCATCATCCTTATCCCAGAGAAGTTTGGTTTTGGACCAATTACTAACTTCCTCCCAATGATCAATTATTTTCCTTACCCCTTATTCTTGCCCAACTGGCTTCTTTTGTTCACTACTGTTAGTAGTAATCCAAGTATCCATATTAGCAACTGGGATATGGAAGAGCTTCTTTTTGTGTTTTTCATTTTCTTTTTCCATGGAGTGTGAACATTTGTTCCTTCATCTGAGATTTGGTTATCTGCTTTTGCTTCAGGATTATCTGCTTGTTGTTCTGATTTGTCATATTTGGATACTCCTTTATTCTGTCTATAGTAATGATTAGACGCATGAGTCCTATTGAAGACTTATTGCTCTTTAGGTTTCCATGATTGGTCCTTTTTCTTTTAGCTATCACAGGAATCGATTTATTCTTTCTGCTTTTAACAATGGTTCTCCATTCATCTTTATCCCTTGTCCCATATTTAATGTCCTTTCTTTAATGAGGCTTGCACTTTCTAATTGTTCAACTATTCTGACCATCAATTACTTATTATTTTTTGATGTTTAAAATGCAGTTTCAAGGCTTACACTGGAAAATTACAAGCCATTCAGCACTCGATTATTGAGGGAAAATATTTTTTTTCATGTGGAGCTAGAGTCATAGAGGATGATTTCACATTCATCTTTTATAAGGATGATCGTGAACTCACAAAAACCTACAAAAATGTTAAAAAATTGCGCAGCAATTTTCTGGTGAAACCTTGTTTTTTGGTCTCGAGTAACGAGTATCAAAGCCTTTTAGTTGTTGATATGCAACCTATTGACTTAAGAGTAAGATGGAGGAATTCACAAAAGAAACTTCTCCAACCATTTTTTTTTGAAAAAGAGATACACGATGATGGAATTTTGTGCAGAATGATTTTATAAAAATTTTTAGATCGGTTATTAAAGGAGATTTTTCATATCTAAAAATTCTTTGACAAACATCATTCATAAAGTTTTAATTCAATTGCACGACAAAAAGATAAGTGTTGTGAAGGTTCTCTCTATTTTTGAATTAAGAAGTATAAGAGAGAGACATTATTCTTATTGAAGATCTACGAAGATAGATGACAAAGGTCATCAAGGGAAGTTCTAAAATGTGAACGTAAAAGATTTTGATCTCAAGGCTTCAGTGAGGTTTTGAATATATGGACCCAATGAAATTGTAAGTTTTTTTCATTTGTATTGTTTTTTGAAACATAATCATTATATATCATATAACCACTTTTGAAACATAATCATGACAAGAAATTGATATTGATATTTTTAGTTGCCCCATATGATATTGATTAATATTGATGTTTTTCATTGACTCTTACAGAGTATTACATTTATTTACATATATTATAGTTGTATTACATGTGTTAAATAGTTATGTTACTATTATTTTCTAGGGATAACTTTCCGATGTTATAGTTGATCAATGCATCATTTTTTTGGACTCGACTTGAAGCAGTAAGATTTCTTGATAAGTTGCATGAGCTTTTAGAGGCAAACACAATTATAAGATGAGTTGAAAATGATATAATGGCTGGTACTAAAGTTGAATTGAATGATGATGATATCTTCTTAAAACATTTATATAAACATGTCATGAACAACAAGAATGACGGGGTTCAAGATATCTAAAAACTTTATCAACAAAGCTTGGTGTAACCTCGCTTGAATGAACCCCTCAATTTTTTCCTTGAACTGGTCTTAGGAAGCAAAACTATTGGGATTAAGATGGGCTTAATCCCATCTCAAACATTAATAAATTTGTCTTAACTTACAACTTCAAAAGTTCTTATACTACCCGGAAAGTCTAATACTAGCAAGAACTAGCTAGATATAACAACCCGATAGTTTTTCAGACGCAGTTTTGCCATCCCAGTTACTAGCAAGAACTCAAAGATATAACAACCCAATAGTTTGGCAGTGAACCAAAGGTAACCTCGCTCGAATGAACCCCTCAATTTCTTCCTTGAACTTCGGATACTTGGTGTAACTATTGTAGTGTTTCAGGATATTATGACAATAAGTTGCTTGGTCCAGTCTGGTAAATGCCATTTGATATTCCTTGTTGCGACGCCTAGTTGAATACTCTACAGAACAAGCTTTGTTGATGAAGAACAAAGCTTATTCCGTTGAGTATTCAACTATGCTTGGCAATCAGAAATATGAAATGGCGTTTACCAGTCATGTCTGGATCAAGCAACTTATTGTCATAATGTCTTGAAACACTATAATAGTTACACCAAGTATCTGGAGGTCAAGGAAGAAATTGAGGGGTTCTTTCTAGTGAGGTTATACCAAGCCTCGTTGATGACATTTTTGGATATCTTGAACCCAATCATCGTTGCTGTTTATGATATGTTTATATAAATCTTTTAAGAGGATATCACCATCATTTAATTCAACTTTAGTACCAGCCATTATATCATTTTCAACTGATCTAATAATCATCTTTGCTTCCAAAAGCTCATGCAGCTTATCAAGAAATCTTACTCCTTCAAGTAGTGTAAAAAAATGATGCATTGATCAACCATAGCATCGGAAAGTTATCCCTAAAAAAATAGTAACATAAGTACATAACTATTTTTCACATGTAATATAACTATAATATACTTCGTATGTAATACTCTGTAAAAGTTAATGAAAAACATTAATATTAATCAATATCATATGGGGCAACTGAAAACATCAATATCAATCTCTTGTCATGATTGTGTTTCAAAAGTGGTTATATCATATATAATGATGTTTCAAAAAAAATACAAGTGGAAAAAAACTTACAATTTCCCTGGGTTTATATATTTAAAACCCCATTGAAGCACCTTGAGAAGTTGAGATCAAAATCATTTACGTCCACATTTTAGAACCATCTCTTGATGACCATTGACATTTGTCTTCGTAGATCTTCAATAAGAATAGTGTCTCTCTTTCTTCAACCTTTTACTTAGAAATAAGGAAGAATCTTCAGAACACTTATTCTTTTGTTGTGCAATTGAATTAAAACTTTATGGATGGTGCTTGACAAAGAATATATATATATATATATATATATATATATATGAAATTTTTCTGCAATAACTGATCTAAAAATTCTTATAAAATCATTCTACACAAAATTCCACCATCTTTGTCTGTTTCTCTTTTTACCCAGAAAAAAATGGTTGGAAAAGTTTATTTTAAGAATTCCTCCATCTTACTCTTAAGCCAAATATCTAGGTCAATTAGTTGCATATCAACAACTAAAAGGCTCTGGTACTTGTCACTCGAGACCAAAAAATGAGATTCTACCAGAAAATTAATGCGCATTTTTTTAGATTTCCATAGGTTTCAATGATTTCACAATTATCTTCATAAAGGATGAATGTGAAATCATCCTCTATGACTCTAGCTCCACAAAAATGTCACTTTTCCCTCAATAATGGGACAATGTGGTTCTTTCTTTCATTTCCTATAGGGATGAAGAACAGGTCACCTACTGCTTCTTTTGCTTCTTAATCTAGGTGCTTCTCTAAAGAGATACAGATCATTAGAACTCGTAAATTATAGGATTATTGTTTCTGTTTTTGTGCTTTTAAAAACCAAGTACTGAAACAAATACTTACAATGGTACTAGGAATAGTAACTGTACTGAACAGATACAAAAAGGTTGTGTTTTTTAATTTAACAAATACTGGATCTGTTTTGTTGTGGGTTTGCTTACAATTCAAAACTTTAAGGACATTCTATATTTTCTGTTCCTCTTCCTTGCTTCTCTATATGAATTATAGGATTATTTTTTCTGTTTTTGTGTATTTAAAAACCAAGTACTGAAACAAATACTTACAATGGTACTAGGAATAGTAACTGTACTGAACAGATACAAAAAGGTTGTATTTTTGAATTTAACAAACACTGGATCTGCTTTGTTGTGGGTTTGCTTATGATTCAAAACTTAAAGGACATTCTTTATGTTCTGTTCCTCTTCCTTGGTTCAGTGCTTGAAATATATGAAAAAACATTGCTGCAAGTCTTATTCGAAAACTGTTTTTTTTTGCTTTAAAAGTTTCATTTGTATTGCAACATTTGAAAACACAGATACATATAATTTAGTAATCTGGTTGTGGTTTTGAATTCCAACAAATTCTGGGTTCCACTAGAATACCTAATGGAGAAGAGTTCCAAGCGTGTGTGCATCATGTATAAATCAGAAATACGATCTCAAATGCTTTTTGCCTGTTTTATTAACTTATTTAAATTCATCTTGTTCGAACTAGGAACCCTATCTGTGTGAGGAATGACAAGAAGGGGCGAGTCATCTGCGGTTGAAATTGAAGACGACTCAGAAAGAAGAATCTAATCTATGTGTCTCAGGTGTTTGGGGGGGTTGGAACCAGTGGATAGATGGTTTTGTTTGAATGGTGATGTTACAACCGGTGGAGTGGAGTATGGAGAAGGTATCCGGGCATCAAATGCAAAGCCAGACAAATAGATAGATTTGAAGACCTGCCACACCTTGGTTTTCTTGAATCGCTGTTAATGGATGGTTCTATCTACCATATTGGTCACTCCAGTTGATGGGTCACCCCTTCTCCCACGGTGTTTTTGAAGTTGATGGAAAGATTTATGTTTTTGGGGGTTCTGAGCGCAACTCTTCACTCCTGGGCCCCTATGTGGTGGTTTACGACTCAAGAATCGAATCAGTGGGTGGGGTCCTGTGGCAGTCTGGAAGCATTTCCTGTTTTACCTCAGCGGCCGTGCTTACAATTGTTTAAGGCGGATGTTTGTGCGTGGGGATGTTTGGGCTCCTTGTGGAAAATTCACCACCCCTTCAGGTGCAGGGTCCACAACCCTAGTTGATCTGGGAGAAGGCACTGTTTTTCACGTCCGGCGTCTCCTGTCAGATTCAGATATAGGATGTTGGCTATTTGAATGCTCCCGGTTACATTTCAAGATTGATGAAAATGGAAGATGAGTTGTGGTTGAACAGGGAAAGCCCGTCGCCTATTCTGTCAGCGGCTGCAAGGGGTTTCCTTTTATCTATGGCAATCATCCCTAGATTGTCTGGCTGGGGAAATGCACTAAATTGCAGTAGCAGCAGCAACAACCAATTAGTTGCCTGGAAAACGTTATGGGTTTACTTGGTACTAAATTGTTTTTTTCGACTACATGTCACCCCCAAATGGATGGTCAAACCAAAGTAGTTAACCGAAAATTGGGACAATTCCTTAGAGTCTCTGTCAATTCTAATCCGAGGACATGGATACTCGTACTCCTGACCGTATATCCGTATAAGTTGTAACCGGTATTGATAACTCAACTTCTCATCTCCGGTTCGACCACATCGTAGCAGCAACACATGCAGATGATGTGGGGGAGAAGAAGCTTCCAATTTAATAGCAGCTCAGATCATATTTGTATGTTTTCCTATCTTCATCTTTCAATGGCCAGGCCAGGAAGGCCCTTCGCATGGATCTGATTACGGTACTACTCCCTCCGTCCCAAAAAAAAAGTTACGTTTCATTTTTTTGCGCATCCCAAAAAACATTTTTACCCACAGCCAAAATGCCTAAATATTATCACATTTACCCTTTATTGTAGGTAGAAGTCATTTTGAAAGTTTTTTTGGCGTTTGAAGCGATATAGAAGTATTTTATGGGATGCGCAAAAAAATGATACGTAACCCTTTTTAGGACGGAGAAAGTATATTATTTTTGTCATGATACTAGATTTTTTTTGTAGTGTTAAAATGGAATTTGAATTCGTTCTATTTATTTTGTTTGGGCTCATCAATGAAATATGAAATTTGATTTTTTTTTCTTTCTATTAATTTTGTCTGTGCTCATTAATCAATATCTAGAGTTGTGTTTTCACCCACTAGTTTCTAGGATGTGTGATTATATCTTTGTAATAATAATGCTCTAATAAGGTGTTACTTCAAAGATATCATGTACATTATATTTCTCTTAGGCCCCGTTTGGCATCAGTTTTAGAGGTTAGCGTCAACATTTTGAAAACGCTATGTGATGGTAGCCTTTAGTGTTAGCGTTTTCAGAATTAATCTACACTGTTAAAATTTTATCTGAAATACTAACGCTAATTGAAAATGTTATTCCCAAACAAGGTCTTAACCTCACTCTTTATTTATACTCTCAATAGTGCTGAAATAAAAGGGAGTGATAATTTAGATTAGTGTGAGGGTGAGTTCATAATTTTGTTTCACTTCCAGTGTTGTATAATTGTATTCATTTCATTAGCTAATAGTAATGTTGCAATTTTTTTAATTTTCTCAATGTAATGCACTAACTAGAGTCCGCCTTTAATTTAGATTCGAACTTGCACTTTTTCCGCCTCTAAACTAGAGACGGATTTTTCCGCCTCTAAATATAACAACTAAGGGGTTGTTTGTTTCAGCCTCTTAATGGTTCAGATGTCTGAATGGTTCAGCACTTAATGGTTCAGACTGTTTGTTTCAGCCTCTTAATGGTTCATATGTCTGAATGGTTAAGAGATTTGCCTCTAAATGGTTAAGTATTATACAGAGTCTGAATGGTTAAGACCTTTTATCTGAATTGATCAGACATTTGCCTCTGAATAGTTAAGCAATATACTAGCTCTTAATGTGTCAGACCTCTTACTGGTTCAGCACTTAATGGTTCAGCACTTAATGGTTCAGACCTCTTACTGGTTCAACACTTATCTATTCAAAAGTTGCCAAACAGTCCTTAAATATATATTAGCAGCGGATTTTAGAGGATTAGAGGCTGATTTCTTTCTTTTTTTACAATTATACCCACGTATGAAATGTATTGATGGCAACGCAAGAGCTGCCAAATTTTTTGGTACTTTTCAATTATTAGTATTAAATTAAATCACAAAATGGTACGTGACAAACAAAATATTCCATAGTTGCCAGAAGATTTTTAATAATTGGACTAGTACTATTATCTTCGGACACTAGCATAGTATATAAATTAAATCTAGAAACTCAATTCGTATATTCATCTATGGATATACACACCGGTAATTAATTAGTAAGTTTGTATTATATTGGCATAGTTCGACTAACGTTAGATTTTTGGATAATTTTTTATTAGTACGGGATAATTAATGAACCATACTCTAAGTTGATAACTTCGTTTCAAAAATTCCTAATTAAACCATCATTACATGCTAATGAAAATCATCATCCAATAATAGTGATAGGACTTCCTTTCACCTTGTTTGGTTGGGGGAGCGGAAAGAACACTTTTTATTTTTATTTTTTTATTTCAATTATGTTTACATTATATTTTGTTCATTTAATTTTAGTTATTTATTTATTTCCTCTGTTTTTATTTTTTTATTTAAAATCTTATTTGTATCTATTCTTTGATTTATTTTTATTAATTTAATATTGTTATTTTTATTTTAAATTTTAAATTTTATTTTTTAGTTTTTTCATTGATTTTATTATTATCTTATTTAATGCGAAGTGATGGTGTAAATTACTTGACCGGTCAAACTATACTAGACCGGGTCTAGAATAGTTTGCTTGATTTGGCAAGGTAAGAAAGGCAAAAAACTCGTGGATTGACCGGTAGGACTTTAGGTGGAACACCTGTAGCCCAATTTCTATTATAACGGAGAATGCACGGGTACTTTTACAAGAGAGTTTAGAGGAAATGAATTCGGATCCTCTCTTCCTGAGGTTTACATGAGTATTTATAATAGACTAAGGGAACAGGACCACGTGCGCCCACGTGGGGGCACGATGCTGATGTGGTGCGAGGTGGCTGGTTTTGTCCTTGAGCTGCCTTGTCGCCTTGTGAGGGGGATTATTCCCTTTGTCGAGTAGTGCCTTGGATGGATTCTTCAGCATCTCCAGTTGTCCTCTTCTGACATGGGTCGCTACACGCCAAGCCCTCGCAGATCCTCTTCTGCCGACACTTTCCAATCCCAGAAACTACACCGGGTAATCTCCGAGGGATGAATTCATCGAAGTCTTGAATAAATAGGATGACAACGTAGTTTGACCGGTATACTTTTTTGTGAAGTATACCGGTCATCTTTTGGCCGATGATACATCGTTTTGCTAACGATTCAAGTCTCCCTTCCAAAACTTTCGAGATTGACCGGTCAACTAATTGGTCTCTTCCTTTGACCGGTCGTGGGTGGGATGCACCCATCACGAAGTATTAGTTATATTTGTTTCATTATTATTATATTATTATTATTTTATATTTTTATTTATTTTTATTTTATTACCCCAGAATATTTAATTTATTATAATAGTTTGTTTTAATTTATTTCATTTTTAATTTATATTTAATTTTTAGGCATTTAAGTTAATAACATTGTTTTTATTTTGTTTGTTAATTCAAGTATGGTGAATTTTGGGAATTTCTAATTGAACGATGCAATTTACACCTGACTTCTAAGCAAGTAAAACGAGAATATGTATCCACCTAAAAATTGTATGGTACGAGATACGCATATTAAAAAGATACATATGAAATGTAACTTAAGAATATGGTCCAATTTAATATGTATACTTTGGAACCACAAGTTGAGGAGATGGACATTGTCGATTTTTCAACTATTATTTCAGGAACTTCAATTGAAATTATGATCCTTATTTAATAAGTGACTGATAATAATTTTTTTTAAAAAAAAGAAAAGATGAATAATGATGATGGACCGAATCAAGGTAACATTTCGTTCAACTTATTTTTTCTGCTTATTACTTATTCTTATTATAATCAGATCAGAAAATGTAGCCCGAGTAGAAATAAATAGAGAAAATTTTAGCTTGAGAATCTGTTCAAACACCAATTTCATGTTGTACATGTGGAAACGGGTACAGGTGGAAATGGGTTCGGCCCATCTAACTAATTAACAGTGAGTTCAAAGCCCAATATCAAGTTGAGCTACACGAGTTTCGGATCACCCGAACTTTTTGCCCCATCACTATTTGAAGAAGCACACACATTGGGACTTGAACGTTGTTAAATTTATGATGCTTGAATCATCTAGATATTATTAAGTCATTGTTAATTATTGACAATGTTTATGTTTTGAACACATTATAAACCAATTCAAAATCACCCAATAATCTTTCATCCCTAAGTCTCTTTCCTATTTTGATTTTTTATAAAATTTAAGAGAGTGATATTTTCGTATTAATTTTTTCAAAATATACTTGATGTGGTAGGTAGGTTATTAATGAATAAATAAGATGCGATATGTAGAATGAAAGTGATTTTTTAAATAGAAATTAGAAATAAATTTCGAGACAAAGAAAAAAAGAAAGAAGAAAGATTTTTAGGAACGGAACAAGCATTTTTAACAAGGGTTCGGAAAGTATAGAAATGAATTTGGAGTGACAAAATTGAGTACATTTTGATATCTCCAACCCAACTGAATTTAGATCGTATTGAATTGTTATGTTCTTCTTCTCTATATATTGTTGTTATTGTGAATTATTGATGGATATCGGCCTAGTCATTGGGTTGTGGAAGGCATGCGAGTGCCATTGTAACGGCCATATAAGAGTAAAAGCACTTGGTGCCCATAGTGCGGATCAGGGTGAGTAACCTGATAAGGTGACGGGTTGAGCTCAGCTCAATGTCAGATCACACAATAAAGGGAGAGCAATCCTACTGATCGTTGGGTGATTGATTCCTCGTCACAATTGATGCACAATCAGCCAGTTAACCCGATATTGTAGCGCACGAATTTCATACCATGTATGCAAAAATGTTAGACTATAAATAAGAGATGACCCCTCAATTGTAACACAAACTGAATCAAGCTAATATAGAGATGCAAGAGTTATATTTCATCCTATATACTGTTCTTGTTTACGTTAAGTTCTTCTTGCCACCATAGGCTTTGGGCTAAATCTCATCAAGTACTCTGTTTATCTTATAACGTGTATCGTAAAAAATACTGTAACTAGAGGGGTGATGAATACTTGAAAGACTACTTATGAATTTTTGAAACATAAAGGACTGCATGTAGAGGGTTATAAATACTTGAAGGACTATTTATGAACTTTTGAAATTTGAAGGACCAATCGTGCACGGCTCATAAAGTTGAAGTATCAATCGTGAATTTTAGCTTATTATTTACAAATCAAACTTTGTTTACTTTTTACTTTTTCTGCCCCAAATTAAGTTATCTGTTTACTATTTATATGATCAAATTTCATATTCTCTATTTTTATTAGTCATTTGATATTATAATGTAATCACGTCACTACTAGTTTTATAAATCTTTTGATGCAGTTTTTAAATATATAATTTTTACTATTTAAATTTTACATGATTTTTTATATAAAATAATTTGAGAATAATTTTAATCAAACTTTAAACTCATGTAAGTCTTTTAAACCCATACCTCAAACCAAAGCTTATGTGTTGCAGAGATCTGTCCGTCAAACCATCGAAAAGACACCCACCCCTATATACGCGAGCCACCATAAATCTATACATACAACAAATCTGTATACGCTTAATTAATCTTTCTTTCTCTCTCTCTCTCTCTCTCTCTCTCTCTCTCTCTTCTCTGCTAAAGGTCTAAAGCTTCCGTCTGGTCTTTTTCCACCTTCCTTTTTCTCATCATTACTCATTCCTTACATCTATCTCAATTCTTCTCCATTCCCAGTCTCCACCCTTCCCAAAACCGACCCGGGAAAGAGTAGTTATTCCTGCACCGCTGCATTCTTGAAGAATTTCCCCAGGAATGCCACTGGAATTCGCTGCCTAGCCTTCTTGATTTTCAGCCATGGGAGCTTGCACCTCCAAATCTCACAGACCCAATCCCTATTCCCCTCGAGAAACCCTAGAAGCGCCGCAGGTTCTCGAAACTCCGGCCCACAGCTCTGCCACCGACGCCGGCAAGAAGTCCCCTTTCTTCCCTTTCTATAGCCCCAGCCCTGCGCACCATTTGTTTGCCAAGAAATCGCCCGGGCGGGCCTCTACTGCGTCCAGGAGTGATGGGTCTACGCCCGGGAGGCTGTTCAAGCGGCCGTTCCCGCCGCCTTCGCCGGCGAAGCACATAAAGTCGTTTCTTTTGAGGCGGCACGGGAGCGTGAAGCCCAATACGCCGACGATCCCTGAAGGAGAGGAGACGGAAGGAGCTGATTTGGACAAGAGTTTTGGGTTCTCGAAACAGTTCACCAGTAGGTACCAGATCGGGGAAGAGGTTGGGCGAGGTCATTTTGGGTATACTTGCTCTGCTACCGGTAAAAAAGGCGACCTNGTCCAAGGTTTCTCTCCACTCATTTTAATCTTCTTGCTTGAATTGTTTAACGGTACAGTTGAAGTTTTCTTCTTTTTTTTTGGGTTACCCGGGGGTATGATTCTTTGAACATTGATTGATCAAAAGGTATACATTCTTCTTTTTTTCTCCTTTCTGGGATTAATTCTATTGATGGGTTTTTGAAATTAAAGAAGCATTGAATCTAGAAACTCATCATGCCTGTTTCTTTGCAGTCAAGATGCATTTTTGAAATTGCTCTTGATGCATAAAGAGCAATAGATTGCAGACTCGTTTAGTATGTAGAGCTGGCTTGACTTTATTATAAAGTAAAACTGGAGGAGGATCACGGCTATTGTTAGAACAAAAAAGGAGTATTTGTAACTTGGAATGACTCTTCTTTTCATGCATTTTGCTTTATTGACAGAAATTGGTTTCTAGGGGAGTGGTTTGGAATTTTTTTTCATACATTGCTACAGTTTAAAGTAAATAATTCAAATTCAGTAGGCTAAAAAGAGATCCTATAGTCATTCTAATATCAGATCATCATGAGAATAAACCAACCAACCAAACAAACCCTTATCCCACTCAGCAGTAAAGGACGGGGAGGATAGAGAATTAGGGACTAGAGAGTAGAAGTATTTGTAATGAGGTTAGAAGTCAATACCCAGTTGATTTGCTAGCAAGAAACTTTATGTGATAATCTGAACTTGAAAGCTGCAAATAGTGTGGTTAGTGACTTAGTGAGGGATATGATGGACAGTTCTTTCTCAGAAATCTGTTTTCTATTCCCCCAAAAAATTGATCTTGCGAGATTTTTATTGGGCGGATTTAACATAACTTTTGAATGGTGATAATGTGCAATGATGTCTTTTTCATTTTTCGGGATTGTCGCGCATTTGTGAAAAAAAAAAAGATGATACTTTAGATCTCTATTATACCCCTTGTAAAAGGCAGACTGTTGTATCTTACTCTAAATCTATTGCTTGCCAGATGACTACTGCCATAGCAATTGAGGACGTGAGAAGGGAAGTGAAAATACTGAGAGCCTTGGCAGGGCATAGCAATCTTGTTCATTTCTACGATGCGTTTGAAGATCAAGATAATGTTTATATAGTAATGGAGTAAGAATGTTAAACCGAATCTAATTTGAGATCCTATTTATTTTCTTTATTCCATATGGTTCTTGTTCAAAGAGGATTGATGAATGATGAGATTTATGATAAGACTTTTTCGTCATTTATTTAACCTGCAATAAGTATTCTGATATTCTTTACACTTTCTTTCAGGCTGTGTCTTGGTGGAGAACTTCTAGACAGTATACTTTCAAGGTAACATTTGTTTCGTCATTTATTTAACCTGCAATAACATGATTTCCATTGCTCATTCCTTTTTTAAATTAAAGTTCGTTTTATTGATTCATAGGGGTGGAAAGTATTCTGAAGACGAGGCAAGAGGTGTCATGATACAGATATTAAATGTTGTCGCATTTTGCCATCTCCAAGGTGTGGTGCACCGTGATCTTAAACCTGAGGTAAATAAATATGCAGTCCAGTTGTGTTAGTAGAGACATAAAAGAAAAAGAAAAAAGAACACATTTAGCTGCAATGTGTGTTCTCTGCATTCCTCCATGAATGTTACTCCATATTGTTTTTCTTTTGTTGTCAGAATTTTCTGTTCTCTTCAAAGGATGAAAATTCCCAGTTGAAAGCAATAGATTTTGGCTTATCAGATTTTGTCCGTCCAGGTTAGATATACTTCGAACTCATTTCATTTTAAACGTTCTAAAATATTATACTATAAGTTAATATAAAGTAGAGTTTGACTTGGTTTGGTCTTTGTAATCACGTGCAGATGAAAAACTTAATGATATTGTTGGGAGTGCGTACTATGTTGCGCCAGAAGTTCTACAGAGATCATACAGTACAGAAGCGGATGTGTGGAGTGTGGGGGTGATAGCGTACATTCTTTTATGTGGCAGTCGTCCATTCTGGGCTCGAACCGAGTCTGGAATCTTCCGGGCGGTCTTGAAGACCGAACCCAGTTTTGATGAAGCACCTTGGCCTTCAATATCTTCAGAGGCTAAAGACTTTGTCAAGTGGCTGTTAAATAAAGACCCTCGCAGACGAATGTCAGCTGCTCAAGCATTGTGTGAGTTTTCTTTTCTTTTTAATTTTTTCTTCCCCTTTTTGAATTTCATTTTCCTCTTGTGTTTACTTTGTCGATTTACTTTGTTTGCTTCCAGGTCATCCTTGGATCCGGAATCACATCAACGTTAAATTGCCTCTAGATATTCTTGTGTTCAGACTCATGAAGAGCTATATGAGGTCGTCATCTTTGCGTAAGGCTGCGTTGCGGGTAAGTACTTTAAGGCTCTGTTTGGAACCTAAAAAATGCCTGTGGAATGTATGAAAATGCTAAGTTTTTTTTAAATATGGAAAAAATGTATGATGGCTTGGAAATAAAAAAGGAAATTAAACTTGTTTAGAATATTTTTTTTATCATTTTTAGTAAATTTTGATTTCATGCTCTATTTTCTTGACAGGCATTGTCTAAAACATTGACGGAGGATGCACTCTTCTATCTAAAGGAGCAGTTTTCGTTGTTCGAGCCAGACAAAAATGGCACTATAAAGTTGGATAACATTAAAACTGTAATTTGCTTATAATCCATTCTTCTTTTGCCATAATAATGTTGAGGATTTTCTCTAATTATTATTATTATTATTCCCCCCCCTTTTTTAACAGGCTCTGCTGAAAAATGCCACAAATGCCATGAAGGAATCACGTGTACCTGATTTACTTGCTGCAGTACGTGTAACCTTTTTTTTTGCGGTCAATCAATTTTCGTTTAACTTGATTATGATGAACGAGTGGTTTGATTAGTGGAGTAATGTGTGGCAGCTAAACGCGCTCCAATACAGAAGAATGGACTTTGAAGAATTCGGCGCAGCGGCACTAAGTGTCCATCAGCTGGAAGTTCTTGATACTTGGGAGCAACAAGCTCACTGCGCGTATGAAGCTTTCGAGAAAGATGGAAACCGCGCAATCATGATCGAAGAACTTGCATCGGTAATTTCAAATTTTTACCCTTTTTTTTTGCGACGAAGCCATCATCATCATCATCATGTTGTTGTTCTTGAATTGCAGGAACTGGGATTAAGTCCATCAGTGCCAGTACATGCAGTTCTGCATGACTGGTTAAGGCACACAGATGGGAAGCTAAGTTTCCTTGGGTTTGTGAAATTGCTGAGAGGCCCTTCTACCAGGACACTTGTCAAGGTCCAGTAAACAAAGTCACTTTCCTGGAGGGGCTATCTTGCTATTTTTTTTTTCAAAAAACAAAATAGCATTCTGCCAAACAACAAATCTGAATCACTGTGGCATAGAATCTCCAATCAGTTGAAAAAAAAATCTCATTGCTCACAGTTTTTTATTTACTTATTGTCAAATATTTTTTTCTCTTCATTGGTGATAGTCAAAGGGTTTGTCTGATCATTCTCCCACATGATCCAAATTAGTAGTGGTGTATGTGTGTGTGTGTGTATTTGGAATCTGGACTTTTTTTTTGTGTACAATGTAAATTAGATGAATTGTGTGTATATGTGCAAAATTCACCTCAATCAAAGAGAACAGTAGTCATCATATATATATTTATAAATATTGGATGTTGCTTACCAAATACTCCTACCAATTTCAAAGCTTGCTCTCTTAGGTTGTTGACAAGATTAAAAAAAGAATTGTGGTGATTATAAAATCTGTACACTATAGAGATTTGTCTTATTAGTTGAACCATTTTTTATTCTTACTTGTCCCTAGGGTCACTCCATTGAAATTTAAAAATATAAAGGAGAGAAGATGTGAGAGAGAGAGAGTAAGAATTAGATTTAAAAATTAGTAAATTTTTTTTATGTATTACTCTCTCTCCTCAGATTAAATGATTCATTTGTCATTTATTTGCGGGTGCAATTGGAGGGAGTGGGGGGTCAGTTTAGGTCGGGTTGGGGTAGGCGGTTTACAGGGGGATAAGAACAATTAATTTTTCAAATGAAGCATTATAGGAGCACTGAGTCATCCTATGACATTGAAGTTCAATATCACTTAAATCGGAGTGTTGACGTATTGAATACTTAAGGGAACCTATTTCCACCCCTCTTGCATCCAAATAAGATATATTCAATATTTCTTCCGTCCCTACAAAAATTTTCTTTTGTTTTTAATTTGTTCTAAAAATACCACTTTTTATTAAAACGTCATTTTACTTTTGAGAAAAGTAGACTATTTATCTACAAATTTTTTGAAAAATACACAATTTCCTCTTGAACTTAAAAAAATGCATCGATTGCCCCTGAACTATTCAAATGGTTGCACCATTGATCCTGAAACTCTAGATAGGTATCGCATCATCTATCACATTCAACGATATCTTTTAGATTGTGAGAAAATTGGAAGAGAAAAAACTCAATATTGTTTTTCAAATGTCTATAGACAAAACTCTATAGAACAACCATAGGCAGTTTAATTTCAATATGGGTCGGGCATATTAAGCCAACTCCTGATATATACACAAAGAGCACTTTAACAAAATCAACCATTCAATAATGGTATTGTTGTTGTGCATTAGTATTAATTAATTATTCAACTGTAATCCTTTTTAATACTTATATTTAAAAAAAAAGCCTACTAAACAAGCCAAAAAAATGTAACTATAATGCTCAATTATTTAATACTTCACCTACTAATTTGGGCTGCACATTCCATCAAAGGATGCAAAGAGTTGATTTGGGTGGTAAGCAAAATCCCAAAAGCTTATCTAAGATAACGTGCACGAAATCAAATTGGTTCTTATCTGATTCGTTAAAATTCTTATCTGATCTGATTATAGTTATATTTAAAGTTATTTGTGATCTGATTCCGATAAAAATAAAAAAGAAGCTCTATGTTAGCACATAATTCTTCAGAAAAATTGTGCTTCTTGGTACCGAAACCTTCTCATTTGGATTTCAAAATCAAATTTGACTCAAATTACATACTTGGAAATCCAAAAAAAAAAAGAAATTGGGCTAAACTCATCTCATTTCCAACAAAGCTCAATTACAATATACAAATTCATACACCCCTTGAAATTTGAAATCCAGGAATTCAAATTTTAGAATTGAAATCCAAGAATTCGAATTCTTAATTTTACCACAGTGCGTTGTAGAATTTGGAAAAATTTGTGCTTCAACATTTCTGGCCTCACCCAGAGACAAAAACCAAAGGTTCAATACAACCCCATGGGATGGGAATCATGGAAGCTCTTAATCAGATAGAAAATGACATTTTCAGGGTAAACACTTACTCATGGCAGCATCCTGAACTCCCCATTTGTATTGGAAAAAGAAAAGCATGGGGTCCTCCTATCTGGAAGAAGAAGAGAAGTGTTGATACAACTCATCAGCCAATGCTTGTCTCATGCTTTCGCCATAGTAATGCGAGCTCTTCTCGTTCTCCAACACCCTCTGCGACGACACGTTCTCCTCCGGTTCCTTGCACAGCTCCGGTTCCGGTTCCCTTGCAATCTGGCACAAATTGTGCAGCACACAACACGCGACGATTGTTTGAGGCGCGTGGGTCAGACCCACATTCATGTTCTGCATGATCTTCCACCTCCCCTTCAGCAGCCCTATCGCTTCTTCGACTGTCTTTCTCCCCTTCATCAGCATTTCATCAAACACGTTCTGTGCAGGGCTTCCAGTCCCATTCCCAGTGAAGGGAGTGAGCAAGAATGAGAGCAATGGGAAGCCCCAGTCCCCGATTATGTATGGCCTCACGTTCAGCCCCCTCACATTCATCCCTTTGTCCCAAACAATGTCGCCGGAAATCAATCTGTTGTACAGCAAGCTATCCCTGAAATGGGTGGCATTGTCGAACCCTCCTGGAGCTTTCACACAGACATCCCAGAAAATTTTCTTGTGATCAGCCACGACCTGGAGCAGGACCGAAGGGAATCCGTAGCGACAGTAGTACATGGAAGAGTTAATGGTGTCTGAGGGAAGATGTTGAAGTCTCACTGGGGTTCCATCAATGGCTCCGCAGATATTGGGGAGAAATGCGAGTTTTTGGAAACCCTGGGTGGTTTCCACCAGGCGGCGGCGACTCACCGGGATCTTGATGAACTCAGGGTAGAGCTTCGTGGCCAGGAGGCGGGTGACCATATTGGTAATTTTGGAAATTAGGTACGGATCGAGGCCGTAGCGCGAAGCTAGGGTTTTAGCAGACAGGCCATGGGATAATCTGGAGAGAACCATAGCTACGGCGTAATCGGATGGGAGAGAGAGCTGGGATTGGGTGATGTAGGGTTTGAGCTTATCCACCACCGTCGTAAACACCGGGTATGAGAGTCCGTACAGAGATCTCCACTGTGCGTCGCGGAGAGGAGCTTCCATCGCCCATATGTGCTCCGTCGAGAGCGCGCGGAAAGCGGCGACGGAGCATTCCGCCGTCGTCGGGGAGGAGGGGGATTTGGGCTTTTTCTTAGGCTGGTGGGAAGCGATGTAGGAGAGAACGGAGGCGATCGTGAAGAAGAGGAGAGGAGCGGCTGATGTGGAGGTGAGCAGAGACGCCGGAGAGGCGGCGGAGGAGGCGGAGTCGGCGAGGAGGGAGGTGGCGGGGTCTAGCTGGTTGTGGAGGTGGAGTAGATTTGAGAGCATGAGCAAGAATGACTGATCCATCGTTCTCCTCACTCTGCTCTGAATTACCTCTCGGCCGGCGGTTGATGTGGCGATAGGTTTTGGTTTCCCGACGGCGGCTGAGCCAATCTCCGGAGGCTAATTGGAGACGGTGGTGAGAATGACAGTTAACGACGGACGGCGTAGGATAAGCCAAGAGATCAAACTAATTGAAATTTGCCCCCTAAAGTCCCACTCCGTAGACATCTGGGCCCCTAAAGTCTTCATGTTTTTTGCAAAGACCCACAATTCTCTTCTTCAAAGTTCAAAATGTAAGATCATTTTCGCAATGGGCTGTACTTTAGAGGTATTAACCTTGGACGACGTTAATGGGCCTTAAAATAAGACCACAAGTGTACCACTAATTCCAACCATTCTAACAATGGCCCGTAAGTAAAATAAGGGTCAATTAAATAAAATAATTGATACTCTGTAAATAAATTAAATTATCACCGTTGGGTAAACTATGTCGATTGAGGCATGAGAAGGTAGCACAGAAGTATGTGGACTTGGAATTAATAATGCAAAAAATGAATTATAATTGGAGAATTCAATTTTATTCAATTCAATCTCATAGAATTTCAATTCTAATTTAATTTCATGTACTAAACATACTCTTAGGGGAGTGTATTCACTTCGGATTTTAAAAGATTTTGATAGATTCTTTAAAATTCATGGATTATATAAATTCATTAGATTGTTTTAAATTTACGTAGAGTTAGTTAGATTCTAATGTATTCTATCATAAGATTTTGTAGGATTATGTTTTTTTTTTCTTTTCTTTTTTTTCTTTTCTTTTCTTTTTTCCCCTCCCCCCTAGGCGCTACCATCTCAGTTCCAATTTTAAGTGAGAATCCGAAGAATGAGTCGCCGCCGGGCAAGGATGAGTCGCCGTCGGGGAGAGCATCCGGGGAAGGATGAGCCGCTGCCGGGGAGAGCATCCGGGGAAGGATGAATCGTCGCCGGGGAAGTATTCGTTCGAAGCGAGAATCCGATGAATGACTTCAGTTTGCTCTGCCACATAGATACTGCCGGCGCACTAATCAAGCACTAATCAAGCACCTGGAGTGCCAAACGGGATGCCAGATCCAATTCCACCAGATCCAATTTCGCGAATAGGGATGCCCGACCAAAACCCTAGCCAGAATGAAACCCTCCGTTGAGTTGCAAAATCCTGCATTTTTTTGTGAGATATTGGACTTGGATTTTAAGTTATACCCAAAGAGCAAAATCCATCAAAATCCATATATTATGGAAATCTTTTAAAATCTATTGATTTTTGAATACCATTATATTTATTAGGATATATTAAAATCTGAATTGAATACCTCCAGATTTTAAATGATTTTTTTAATTCTAGATTGAATACCTATAGACTTTTAAAATCTAAAAAAATACTACAGAAACCAGATTGAATACACCCCCCTTAGAATTTAATTTTATTGAATTCTAAACTTTGTATGTAAATACCCTTCGTTCTAGAATATTTTTTTTAGTTTTATTTTTTAGAGTCAATCATAATCAGCATTTGGTGTTGTGACAAACAAGACATTTTCTAACATTTGGCTTATAGCTAAACTATTACTTCACTCGTGCGATGCCCGGATAATTACTTTCTAAATGGGAGGTGCTTTAAATGTATTAGTCGTGAACAAGGTTAATGGGCTTTAAAATAAGACCACAAGCGCACCCTTAAATCCAATCATTCTAACAATGACCCGTAAATAAAATAAGGGTCGGTTAAATAAAATAATTGATACTATGTAGATTGAGGCATGAGTAGGTATAATTAGATAGCACAAAAGTACGTGAATTTGG